AGAAAAGTGTAAATATGTTCAAGGTCATTACATCTGCGGTAGCGTAATGACACTTTATAAGGTACAGACCAGTTCACTATGCAAGGTACAGGAATATGTACACGAACTAAACAACTATTCAAATTGTAGGACGACATGTGAGACGTCCAACCACACTATTTGGATTCAGTCACAACAAGAACGTAGATGGCTGTATTCTACGTTGGGCGAGCAGTCTGTAACCTTCAGGTGCGGAAAGGGACCCGATAGAATGGAGACCTTGACGGGAGTTGGAGAAGTAATACTGTGACGAATCAGTGCGGGTTTTCAACCAAAGTTATTTTTGTCAACACTAAAACAGTACTAGAACATGAACAAATTAATACGTACTTACCACGATTTAATATTACACTTACACAAACAAACGGAACCGTATCACAAAACATACACGCGTTTGACGAAGTAAAGTTACAAAATTTGACAAACACCAAAACACAATTGCAGACGATAAGTAATCAGATACAAGAAACTAATAACGATTTTGATCAAGAATTTTATAAACAACCATATTTTGTATATCCCACAAGCATAAGTGCGATAACAATACTGTTAATAATAGCCATTATAATATACGAGTATATCGTAATTAAAAATAAAAGAACAACCGTCCAACAACAGCAATATTCACGACAGGTACATTTTGTCAATGATATAAGTAAACTCCGACCTTCACAGATAAACACAAGTGCGAGGATCAAAGACCCCACATTGAGGAGGTAGCAACCACACTTCTTTAAAAGTCAGTATGTAATAACTGTAAGAAAAACCTCCCCTGTCAGTTTTTTTGTTCAACAGGGGAAGGATGTTATAAGTTATATGTTATGTATATATTAAGTTATGTGTTAAGTATTGTGTAATAAGCGATATTGGTTAAATTCGGGGTTTGGTTACTGGGTTTAGTGTTACGTTAAAAGGGGGACTGGAATCCGGCACGGATGTCCAGTCAGCAGTCGCGGGGCGATGTGCGACCGCGTGCACAAGAACGCACCAGTCGAAGGGCGCACATGCAGCCGAAAAGATGCAATGGTTTGCATTGCACTTTTCGAAGGCCGGATGTCGTCTGGTTTTCCTTGGCCAATCACAGAGTGATTGACTCGGGGATATAAGTCGGTATCCGGGCGGAAACAGGTAGAATCGTTCCGAATAGTGTTGCCGCCGAAGGCTCTGCTGAACAGAACGTCGCTCGTCCGACTTCGCGCCGCGTGTGACATCGCGGGTAAAATAAGTGAACATTGACGTATAATAAAAGCCATAGTATATTTCACGCGATCAAAATATTGTAGTAACAAAACTGAATATAAAAGGTAACAATTGTGGCAACAAAGCTGTTTTATTTAATGGAGTGTAACCCTTCCCGACGGTCCCTCTCCTTGCGGCACCCAGTGAATTCCACGGGAAGACAACGTGTTTTATCCGGTTTAATATGTGCGTCACACCATCGTACGTTTATGTTTGTTTATTATGTACGTTAAGATAGCCCCCCTTTAGAAATTTACTATAAAATTTATATAAAACTTAAGTGCTATTTAGGTGCTAATTAGGTGCCCAATTAAAAATTTTGGTGCTCAAGTCGTTTGGCAGAAAATTAAAATTAAAGTGGGGGGGCTGAGTTAACGTCAACCTGGTCCCCCCATATTAAAAAATTATATTTTCAGTAACAAATTTTCCATCAAAATTAGGTGCTATTTAAGTGCTAAGGAGGTGCCTAATTAAAAACTTTGGTGCTCAAGTCGTTTGGCGGAAAATTGACATTACAGTGGGAGGCAGCTGACTTAACGTCAAGATGGCACACCCCATATTAAAAAATTATATTTCCGGTTAAAATTTCTTCCCACACTCTATATTCTAATTAAGTGCTTTTACAATATGCAACACTTACTACAGAAAAATAACAATTAATAGTTTTTTTCACACTATTTCTGCGCGACTTTCACAGTCCTGAGATTAAAGTCGATATCTACACAAATTGCGTTTGAGTACCTACTTTGAGACTTTTATCTAAACAATATAACACACAACACGTTGTTTGAAGTACATTCTGTTCAAACAAATAATTATTTTACCTAAAATTATTCTTGTCTAAGTTGTTAGTCGTTGTACGATACAAGCTACAAAAAGTTTACGTACTTACACATATTAGATGCTCAAACAAAATAAACGTCACCAGACTTGTGATGTGTCCCATTCTTTAAATATAAAGTTTCCAATTAAAAGCAAGAACAAATTGTTACTTTACAATAAGCTTTACCTTCGCAAACCTGAAAGTAACCACTACGTGTTATTTACAACCTGTTATATGTTATATCTCTGTAATAAGTTTTGCATATTATAAAAGCATTTTCTTCTCTGCAACTAAATGCAACAACAAGTGTTTAAACGCATAAATCGATCAAAAACCTAAAATTTTTCCCAACGTTTACTTTTGTACGCTCGAGCGCGTACAGTGACTAAGTCCCGTCATACACTACCTTTGCGACCGCGTAACTCCGGTATCGTTCGAGCACCTACTTCGAAACTCTATATTTAAATACTATAACGTATAACAAGTGTTTTAAAGCAGTTACAAAACGAGCACCTAAGTTTTTTACCTATATTTATTCTTGTACGCTTGAGCGCGTCCAGCGACTAAGTCCCGTCATACGCTAACTCTGCGACCGCGTAACTCCGGTATTGTTAGAGCACCTAATTCAATACTCTATATCTAAATACTACAAGGTATGACAAGTGTTTTAAATCAGTTACGGAACGAGCATCTAATTTTTGTACCTACGTTTACTTTTGTGCGCACGAACGCGTCCATCGACTAAGTCCCATCATACGCTAACTTTGCGACCGCGTAACTCCGGTATTGTTCTAGCACTTAATTCAAAATTATATATCTAAATACTACAACGTATGACAAATGTTTTAACGCTTAAACCAATCGAGCACCTAATTTTTTTACCCACGTTTAGTCTTGTACGCTCTTGCGCGTCCAGCGACTAAGTCCCGTCATACGCTAACTTTGCGACCGCGTAACTCCGGTATCGTTCGAGCACCTAATTCGAAACTTTGTATCTAAATACTATAACGTATGACAAGTGTTTTAAAGCAGTTACGGAACGAGCACCTAATTTATTTACCTACCTTTACTTTTGTGCGCACAAACTCGTCCATCGACTAAGTCCCATCATACGCTAACTTTGCGACCGCGTAACTCCGGTATTGTTTGAGCACTTAATTCGAAACTCTATATTTAAATACTATAACGTATGTGCCGAGGCAAGCTCCCGTCACTTGTATTATAGTTATTATTATTATATATATATATATATATATATATATATTATTTTTTTCTTTTAATATTCTTACAATTACTGTTCTTTTTTATTTTTTTTACATTATTAAGTCTTCTTTTGTATATCTCACATTATATTCACATACTATATATATGTCAGTATACATTCAGTATATTCCCGTCCTCGCGCCGTAATATAGCGAATGGTATAGTTCCGACTGTTCCGCGATAGTTCGCGTAGCGTTCTATATTTTGAGCCGAAATATAGCCGATAAGAACGCACGTGAACCGAAGAAGACCTGTGTCCGTGCGACACGGCACAGGTGCATGATATAGCGCGCAAACAACCGCATACCGCACACCGACTCCGGACGGACCGTAGGCCGCTCCGGGGTATAAAAGTCGAGCGATTTCGGCAGTCAAGACCAGTTCCTTCTTTCGAGCTCGAGGCAGTGTCTCGGGCTAGAGAGGTCCTCCGGTGCTAGAGGCGCTGTCTCGAAACACCACATCCGATCTTCCGGTCGAGGCGTTGTCTCGAACACCACTTCCTGGCCATCCGGCCAAAGCGTTGTCTCGGCAAGACCTGGTGCGAGAGGCGTTGTCTCGGACACTATCCTGACCTTCCGGTCGAGGCGTTGTCTCGACAATAACCTGGTGCGAGAGGCGTTGTCTCGGACACCATCCTGACCGTACGGATTGAGGCGTTGTCTCGATCCTTTCCGGCACTTCGGTGCACACCGTCTCCGTCGGCTCCACGAGCCCGGAGATTTAATCGACCGTTGTCACTGCCACATCGATAAACAGTTGTTCTCACGACTCAAACGGCCGTTGTAACCGCCACCGAAAACAGTCGTTCTCACGACTCAACCGGCCGTTTTTACGGCCTGGAACATCCGCAGTACGTCCCCCGTATAAATATACCTCGTAGATTATAAGTTAGTTATAAGGCCGCCGTGCCGCCCTTTGTTTTCCGCCGCGCCGATTTAAATACTAACGCGATTCGAATCTTCGCGAACCATTCCGTACGGGAATCGCCGCGCTGATAAAGCTAGATCCTCTAAATATCCGTTGTAAATACCGTGCCAGTTATATCTAATGTAAATATTTTGATTAAGTAAATAAACCTTCACTACATTACAGAATTCAAATAACCGAGTGTCGCAATTTCACGCCTTTCCCTCTTTGATCCTTGGCGCCACCCGAGCTGTCCGGCAGGCGGAAGGCCAGGCAAAGTCAATAGAAAATCGGTTCCGTTACACGTATGACAAATGTGTTAACGCTTAAACCGATCAAGCACCTAATTTTTGTAATCACGTTTACTTTTGTACGCTCGAGCGCGTACAGTGACTACGTCCCGTCATACGCTAACTTTGCGACCGCGTAACTCCGGTATCGCTCGAGCACTTAATTTGAAACTTTATATTCAAATGCTCACGTATTACAAGTGATTTAACGCTTACAACGATTGAACACTTAAGTTGTTTAGTCTTGTGCGCACAAGAGCGTCAAATTACATAAAATAATTGTTTTTAAAGTAGAATTTATTTCCAGTAAGGGTTTTGCACAATTATCGTTTTTTACAAGTTCACGTGTACATGTGCAGCAGTCGTGGTATAAAAAGATAGATAGATAGATAAATGACGAAGAGCGGGGGGCTTGTGAGACCCTATTGTCACCTAGATCTCTAAGATCCTCTGCGACTCCCGTTAATTGTTAATCGACCAAGCTGCTGAAACCCGGCATTTGCCAGGCTACACAGATGTCCGATTTTAATTATTTTTAGGTCCTCGGGCTCCACTAACATGGAGCCCAAAAATCTGAATCTCTTGAGTGCTAGAGACGGGCAGCGACACAGTATGTGCACGCTGTCCTCCCTCTCTTCGCCACAAAATCTACAACTACTCTCCTCAACTAGGCCTAAGTTGAATAAATGTGCCTTGAAGGTCCAATGCCCTGTGAGGAAACAGATACACAGACTTTGTACTTACTCATTGTCAGTAGTTCTTTGGTCTTACCTGGCAATGGCTGAGTCATCAGGGCCTTAGCTTGGCGGCAGCTTTTTAGTATCTCCCAAAAGATCCTGTGCTCCCTTTTCAGCCAGTCCTTGATATGGTTTTTCCTTGTTGCAAAGGGAACTTTAACTATCTGGCGGACTGGTTCTTTTAACGTACCCAGGTTTGCCAAACTATCAGCCACTTTATTTCCTTGGATACCTTGGTGGCCAAGTACCCAGACAAGCGTGATGTCGTTTCGCTTGCCCAATCTGTTTAGAGCTTGCATACAGTCCCAAACCACTAAAGATTCAGTGATGGTCTTGGCAAGAGCTCCTATGGCTGCTTTGCTATCCGTATAGATATTGATCCTCCTAGTTTTTGTCTCTCTTGCGAGTAGGAATCTTGCACATTCCAGAATGGCCAAAACTTCCGCTTGAAAGACCGTGGCCAATTTACCCAAAGAGAAAAACTCTCTGTGATTTGATCCTGGACAGTAGCTGCCTGCTCCATAGCAGCCGTTTGCTCCAGATCCATCAGTAAACCATGCATGAGTGCCCGGCTGGATCTGAAGATTTTTGTTTTTTCAGTCCGTCCTGGTGGTCAAGTTTATAGAGAACGCCTTGTCCACTAGGCGTATTCTGGATATTCTATCTTGCTTTAAGGTAAAGGGAGGTTTGTGAAAAACCTTGAGCCTGGTATGACCTACTCCAAAATCTCTCCACTCTCCCACACACCTTAGTCTATATGCTGTGAGTTTGGCAGCGCTGATGACAGTCAATCTTAGAGGTGGAATGCAGAGTGCTACTTCCAGCGCCTCTGTTGGTGTCGTTTTCTCATAGTACCTACCGCAGCCCTCAAGTAATTATTTTGTAGGCTTTTTAGTAGGCTCTTTGACTCCATCTTTTCCACTTTAAGTTACCAAACAACAGCAGCATATGTTAACCTCGGTACAAGTACCGTTTTGTATATCTATAGGGCAGTATTTAGTTTAATACCCCAGGATTTCCCATTGCTCTTCTACACGCCCAATATGAAACGTAGAATTTGGATCTCTTTATATCGAGATATGCTTTCCAATTCAGTTTGGTGTCTAAGTGGACTCCCAAATATTTTACTGACTGAACATATTCTATATCTTCTCGCCATAGTCTAAGCGGCTCAATGGCTTTAGGTTTGTATTTTCTGGTGAAAATCATGGCCTTGGTCTTTAATGGATTAGCCCTAAGTCCTTTTGATTGACACCAATTTTGCAGGATCATAAGGGCTTTTTGCATAGTGTCCTTAAGTGTTGAAAGAAAACTACCTCGCACTATAATAGCCACGTCATCAGCGTAACCAAAGACAAGGAAGCCTTTCTTCTGTAATTTTCGTAGAAGTTCATCTGCGAACAGACACCAGAGCAGGAGAGATAAAACTCCTCCCTGCGGGCATCCTTTAGCGGGGAAACCATGCACACTTGAGTCCCTATGATTGGCAATCAGGGTTCTTCCTGTTAGCATGCTTTGTGTCCAGTCTGCTAGAGCAGAGGGAATGTGATGCCCGGTTATTGCTTCCCTGATGACATCATATGAGGTGCTATCGAAAGCTCCCTTAATGTCCAGAAAGACGCTCAGGGCATATCCCTTTGTTTCCAACTGCACTTCGACTTCGCCCACAAAATGGTGCAAGACAGTATCTGTTGATCTGCCCTCCCTGTAAGCATACTGAGCCGGAGACAACGGATGTGCTAGCAGAGGGCCAATTTTCAGATATCTATCAACCAGTCTCTCCAGTGTTTTTAGTACACAGAAAGTGAGACTGATCGGTTTGAAGTCTTTGGCTGCTATATGGTCATTTCTAACAAACTTAGGTATAAAGACTACTCTTGTACCTCCCCAAGCCTGGGGGACGTGTCTTAGGGCTATGCTAGCCCTGAAGATTTTTGTGAGTGGACCTATGAAAATTTCCAGCCCCTCTTGGAGAAGAACCAGGTAGATTCCATCCGGTCCAGGTGATTTATAGGGAGAGAAGGTTTTAATAGCTCATTCAACTCCCTTTAAAAAAACAACCTCAGCTGCCAGACGCCAGTTTCTGGGGTTATATTCCCTAGGCTTCGGTCGGCAGGGTTGTATGTTATGATCAAAACCTGGAAAGTGGACTTCTAATAGATGTTCCAATGTGTCCGTTGCCTTCTCAGTGACATTCCCCGTTGGGAGCTTGAGACACCCTAATTGGGGACGGTGATCCAAACTGAGAATTCTGTGAAGCCTGGATGCCTCCGGGGCGCTCTCAATGCTTTCACAGAAACGTCTCCAGCTTTTGCATTTTGATTTCTTAATCTCCTTGCTGTACTTTTGTTGGGAGCTTCTAAAGGCCTCCCAGTGTACTGCAAGTTTTGTTCTTTTCGCTTTGCTGAATTTCTTTCTCGTTTCCAACTGAGCTTACCGAGCTTTTTTTCCACCAGTGGATCTTGTTTTCCGGGTTTTTGGGTTTTGGTGAGCAGTATAATTCAAAAGCGTTTGTACTGTCGTTTTTTAGAAAGGCCGCCACGTTTTCCAAGTTGTTTTTGGTTTTAAAACTGGTTGGGGCCATAGCGAGCTGGGCCTTAAGGTCAACCCTAAAGCCCTCTCAGTTGGTTTTTTGTTAGTTGCGAACCCAGTTGATTTGCTGTATTTGATGGAGAGTTAGGCGTATTTGTCTGTGATCAGAGCCAGAGGGCTCATCCGAGACTTTTCAGGCGTTCACCAGACCCGCCACCCTCTCCGTACAAACCGTTATATCGATGACTTCCTGTCTTCTGGAGTCGAGGAATGTCGGCTCGTTTCCTCTATTGAGAATGGTTAATCCTATGCCCATTAGGTAGTCGTGGAGACTCTTCTCCCGCAGGTTGGTGTCTGTGCTTCCCCATCCTACATAGTGGGAGTTCGCATCGCAACCCAGCAGGAGTTCGAGCCCCCTGGCTTCCGCATAGGCCACCAGGTTTTTTACCTCTTCATGTGGTGGTGGATCCGTGGAGTCATAAGGCATATAAATTGACCTTATTAATACTTCCATGTCTTCTTCCTCGGCTAGCTTCACTCTCACCTTGACGACTGTGAGGTCCTCGCTGCTGAGCTGTGGCAGAAAGATAGCATTTAGTCCTTTTACTAAAATGCATGATTTTACTCCAGTATCTGAGTGTGCTTTGTATAAAAAGCCGCACCCACTCTGTCCTTTTACTGCACCTTTCACAATCCATGGTTCTTGGATTATTGCAATACTTGTATGCATTACAGCCATGCTCCTGGCTAGGATAGCAGAGGCGCTCTTGCTGTGATGCAAGTTAATCTGGATCATTCGGATGCCGAGTGAAGCCATTTTTAGGCAGTCCCGACACCCTTCGACTCCATCTCCATCTCCGTCGCTTCCCCGCGCTATCGTTCCGTCATCCTAATGGTGGTCCGGCCGAGACCGAAGAAAGGCCTGACGCCACAATGCTTCAAGGATTCCATCGCCGAGTCGCCAACTAAACAGGAGAAGTGGGCGCTCATAGCATTTCTCCTATACGTCCCTCTGGTGTCGACCCAATCGCTGGTTGCCAGCCCTGTGTTTTGCTGGTTAAGGAGCTTTAAAGCATCCTCAACCCGTATTTTAGACTCTTCCACATGCACCACCACCTGATGACGCTTAGGTAGCGCATCAACCGGCAGCACACACAGAGGAGTTCCCATGACTTTTAAATCAGAGGAATGGGCTGAAAGCTACTCCGCCGACTCTATGGTGGCGCACACAACCATGAGTGCGTTATCCCTCTTCCAGGAACCAGTGAAAGTGGGGGCTTTGTCATTCTCATACATGCCGAGGATGATAAACCTGACCTTTTTTCTGATCTCAACCACCTCACCGGCTCCCATTTTCTTGTCAGGGTAGCCCTCCGATAGGAAGGCCATCTTGACAAGACCTTTTGTCGCCTGTGCATACGACCCTTCATTTTTGGGTCTCTTGCCCTGGCAATTTTTTGAGGCGCTTTGCCGCGCCACCCGAAGCACCCCTACTTCCAACTCCACCTTTTGAACAAGAGGCTGCGGGGGTAGAAGAGGCCTTATTGGCCCCATTCTCCCCGGCTAGCATCTCTTTATTATAACGGCGCCTAGCAGCCCCGCTATATCTTATGCGGTATTTTGGGGCTTCTGAGCCCGCTCCCGCACTGCAAGATTTTTTTGGGCGTTTGCCTCCAGAGGAGGCTTCGCTTTTGGGGACTAACTTGGGGGTAATTTTATTTTTGCTTTTACTCATTTTTGTCCCCACGAGTATCGCGGTCGCGCGGTCTCACCCAGCCAGAGCCGCGAATGGCTGGGGCTTACCTCCGTACTCCTGGATTCCGCCCGGTATCCAGGAGGCACCGTTTACGACGCAACTCCCCTTTCGTCACGCAGCTCTCGGCACGGTCGCTCACACCTTAACTTGGGGAGTTTCTCTTAGGTGGCCACAGACGGGCCCATCCCTGAGCGGATGACCACTGCCCGCGACCTTAAGCCCCACCACCCGCTCCGGCGCGAGAGCCCACAGCCATTGGTTCTATTATATGTCTTGCTTCTTCTGTATTCTCTTTTGTATTTTTTCCTTCGTCTTTCTCTGCAATTATAATATTTGTTATTTTCAAACGGCCGCTTATAAAATTATAATGTTTCATAACNAATTCATCAGCTCGCATAGGCGTTTGTTCTGTTTTTAACAAAACATTTTTAATTATATTAAAATCGCTTTTTACCGAAGCACTACTAGCTGGAATCCTTCCATATTTAAATTTATCCCAGCATATGCAAGACCACATTGGTATCAATTGGATATTTTTTATCAAACAATCTGCAAATGCTGGCAAGTAGTGTGCATTTTCACGATCTCCTTCGTTATCAGCTATATTTTGTTGTACCTCATTATTTATAGCTCCTGCCCATTGATACCACTTATAATCAATTTTGTTTTCAATTGTTGTTTTCAATTGTTGCTCGATATTTATGTCGTCGGAATTGGCTAACTTTTCTTCAGTAAAAGACATATCTTTGTTAATAAATACTTCTTCGTTTGAAGAAGATGTTATGAAATTTTTCATTTTTAGTTTGTATATTTTACATATTGTTTTTTTATTGTTTCTGTCTAAACCTTCTGTCTCACTTTTTGCAATAACGAATATTGCTCTCAATATTTCCTCAGCATCAGATATATTGCAACACAAAATTAACGGGCGTGTTCCGTTTGACCACAGTACGATTCGACACCGATCGATTCGACACCAAATTATTGGACACAGATTTATTCGACACTGTACGATTAGACATCAAATTATTCGACACCGTACGATTCGACACGAAATTATTCGACACCAAATTATTCGACACCGTACGATTCAACACAGAACAAGCACTATGCATCGTGACAATTAATACTAGTAGCAACACAGGTTAGGGTTAGGTTAGGTTTTTTTTCGGGGAGGGGCGGAGCCCTTCCCCCGCCAACATGTGTACTATAATATGTAATGCAAATAAATTTGTTTCTGAAATGTACATGATATCGGAAAATGTACTGTGTCGAATTGTACGGTGTC